TAACGATCTAACCATTCTCAATCATCTATCACAATTTATCTCCATTTCTTAAACTTGTTACAAAATTTGTTTTCTTTTCCTTTCTTCTTTCATCATCATGCTAAATTGTATTGATTGCAATCAAATGCACCAATCATTCTGATTCTTATCAATGATAATATTATCTCAAGAATATGTCAAACGTATATTTAAGTGAATTCTGATGAGAACGAGACATGCATAAATGAAGTTTAGGTTGATCAGTTCAAAAACTGATTACTTTTCCATGTAAATACCTAAAATTGGAAGAATACAAGATCTATTTCATTTGGGTTTAACTATTCGTCCAGAAAATCTGAACGTATCAAAATTCAAATTATTAATTTCTATTTCTTTATTTGTTTGTTTGAACAATTTTAGTATCTTTTCTTTATTTTTTCTTCTCTTTCCCAACCAATTTCCACTGTTCCTCCTTTTAATCTTTTATTTCAATGTAATTAATAACACCAACTCAAATGAATATGATAATGGCAAAAGTGGATAGAGGAAAAAATCGTCTAAAATATAAACTTACTTCCTCAAGCATTCGTTCAATTTACAAGTAACAGTTCAAAAATCAAACTGATAATTTCATTTTTTTAGCACTTATCAGGAATGTTTTCCACGTTATTAATTATTCAAATCCAAAAGTGGTGAAATGCAGCAAAGCTGAAAAAGTGACAACAAAGAAAAAAACCCATTTTTTCCATTCGATCAAAATTTGCTACTGTTGAATATGTACTGGCATTATTTTTATCGTATTATACTATTATCAATCACCTTACAGTCTAGCAATATTTCATGTAAGTTTCAAGTTCTAGAATATTCATATCAATGATTACTGCTATGTTTATCAAATCCTAACTTTTGATAAATTTATGTTCATCATATTGTGGTTTATGATAAATTTCTAGCATGAGTACTTTTCATATCAGAAGAATCTTCATTCTAATTTATTCACTAAAAGATTAACTATTGTCGATGCATATTTTAATCAAACTTGAGTAATGATTATGTAGTATAACGATTTAATTTCTATAATGATTGAGATGATCTGAACAGCATGATTATGATAGTGATTATATAGTGTAATGATTTAATTCATATTATGATGAATTTATAGGTGAACCAACAAATTGTGTATTATCATATTATGCTGATGAAATAAGTTACAAGGATGCATCATCGCTGGATTTCTACTACACGAGGTAATATTAATGGATCAGTTGTATCATTAACAAAAAGATAATTGATTACTGGATTACTAAATAACACCATGGTTGGAAGGTTTAATAAAATAGGATTGATTACATATGTCATAGACAAATTTTGCATAATTTTGAGTGGAAAGAAAATGCTACTCGAATAGCAACGTGTCACATCTTCTCGACATCAAAACTGTCATAGTATTTTTTAATTATAATATAATAAATAACCTCGGATAAAATATATTGCGATAATTACTATCAATCTTAGTCATTTCAGCAAACAATTTGAATTATTAAAGCTGCTTTGAAGTAAGGGAGAAAATATTAATTAGACAAATTGGTTAACAAAATATTTCTGCTAATATTATTCTGAGGATTTTGCTTGAAATAATACAAAAATAGCTCTAAATACTTTTTTCTTCGCTTGGATAATTGATAAGAAATATTTCAAAGAAAAAATAAATGAAAATGGAAAGAATAAAAATAAGAATAATGAAAGAGAAAAAAGAAAAGGGAAAAATAAAAGTGTGCCATCTTTGTATTCTCTTTAATTGTAATCAAATGTAAATAAATGATGTTTTAGTTGGAAAAATAAAAATAAAAAATAATTATTATCATTTATTTTTGATTTTAATTCCTTACCCCCTTTTATTTCTTTTTTTGCTGTAAATATTTATTTGAAGGATAATAATTTATTGTTGGTAATTATGATTGAAACGATAAAATAGATATTCAGCAGAATTAAACGGAATCAATCCATCTTGCTTTGTGTTAATTAATCAGCAGAACTAAACAAGACCAATTCATCATCTTAATTTGTATTAATGATGTGCAATTTTGCATAATTTTTGAGCAGTAGCTGTGAAATACATAACATTTAAACTTTAATGTAGAAATTAAACGGCAAAATTTTAAAGATAAATAAAGAGGAATGGATATTTATCGATAAGGATGAAAACGGCTGAAAAATAACTTAGACTAATCATTGAAATTGAACACATATATCCTAATATCTTTCAAGTTGCTACTGTAAAAAATTTTTCAGTTTCTCATCAATACTATGTTAGAAAAGTACAGATAAATGAAATAAGATAATCGCTAATTTACGAAAATTTATTCGCACACATTCAAATTCATTCACTCTTTCTAATCACTTTCGAAGTTTTATCAAGACTGCAATCAACAATATATGAATTATAATTTATTAAAAAATTTTTGTTAAATTTTAAATCATCCGATTTAACCTAACAAAATTACTTTGAAATATAACTTATTATTATCGCTATAAACAAAAAAAAGAACTTGACGAGGTGACGAGGAAATATGACAATCGTTTTACAAAAGAATTAAGCATAATAAAGATTGATTGTTTTTTTTTTTTTTTTAGAACTAAAAGTCATACAATCAATATATTCTATTTCAAACATTGAATAGCTGAACAATGCTCATATAAGATATTATCAGTTGTTACTAAAAATAAGTGGATACTTTCAGTGTTGGCATAAAATCGGTGGACGAATGCGCCAATTTCTGCTTTCGTCGACAATTTTGCCGTACTGCCGTATACAATTACTTTGCAAATACCTGCTCGATAAGTTACAATTGGGTAATAAACTGTTGGTAAGTAATTATTCATAAGATTATCTGAATTTTTGTCTATCCTACATTCAATCTTAGTTACCTGTTAATATCATTGTTATCGTATCTATCTCACTTAACTTTTAAATTTTTCCATAAATCATTCATGATATAACTGCTGACAAAGAGAATTTATCGGATTTGTTTATCTAAATCGGTTTAACTTACAAGACAACTTTATTAAAGTGTAATTTGTTACATTTTGTTATGGTATTAATATTCCAAAAATTTCGTGTTATTATCTCTTATCAGGCTATCCCTAATCATCCTGAAATCAATCTGTTATCTTCCTGATCGACCCATTGTAGGAGTCATCAAAAACGATATTCGCAATATCAATCACCTAATCGGCAGTTAGTTCGAATCGCTTGCATGGAACGCTGCAAAACTGGTACCACTGAAACCAGTACTTTTTTTTATTTTTATATTTCTTGAATGAAATTCCGTGGACCTTTCGACTTCTTCAAAATTAAAAGTGTTTTTATCATACATATTTAAGTGATAATATTTTCGGAAAATTTTCTCTTGTATTATAATTTGGCAATAAAAAAATTAAAAGAAGGCTATTTATTTATTTTTGTTTAAAAAAATTAAATCGTTTATTTGAGTTAAAAAACAAGGGGTTGCAATATTCAGAAGTCCTGAAATATGTGAAAATTGTGTAAAAACATTATTTTCATTCAGTTTCTCTTAAATTTCATTGTTAATATAATTTAACATTAAAATGAAACAATTCTTTTGACAAGATTTCTTCAATTATTTTCTCATTTTTCACTTTCCATTTAAACTCGGGTTTCTGAGAAAGTTTAAAAAGTCTTGCTCGCAAATCGGAGAACCAATAAATTTTATGGTTTGCTTAAGTTATGAAAAATTATTCATCCATGCATTTTAATGTTTTTTGCATAAATTCAAGCGCTTGCCAATTTTATCGGAAAAGAAACTTTTTCAATTTTTTAAATTATTCTATAAAGACTGAAAAATATATTCTATTAATTCATAATTCAAAGGTATACTTGTTAATTGCATCGGATTTTTCAACTACCATTTATCATTTGTCAAATCATTGTAACTCTCACGCATTCCGACCAATCTTCCTTATCGATTGTATGATTGCATAGAAAATATGATTGATTTATTTGCGTAAAATTTTTCCAAAAAAAACTGACAGTTAGCAATCATTAAGACTAATTCATTTAAGCTATCAGCAAGATTATTAATTAGGAATGTATGTAAATCCCATAACCAAGACAAATTTTTCTTCCTATTTTAACAATTTTCCTATCATAGTTTTTATCATAAGACTTTTCTTAGCTAAAATAATTTGCTTTTTATGTTTGGATCATTTCCTTATCTACTATCTCTCTTTTTTCGTGATTTTTTTTTTTTTTGAATATAAGTTTTTGGCTAGTCAAATGTTTCCAATTCGAAAGTTCATCTCAACAATAATTTCAGCAAGCAATACTTTACGATTCACTTTTTTTTTTCAGAAACTGGGAACGGCTTACATCAAGTAAAGGATATACTACTTAAATCAGGTGTTGAAATTACCCGAATTACAGGTGGGCATTCAAATTTCCCACATTACGATACATGGTTGCATGTTTATTGGATTCCTTATTTCTTCTTATTATGCGTATTTTTTTTTAATTTTTGGATTTCTTCTCTCTTTTTTATTTCCATCGAATGCAATTTCTCCTTTTTCCACAAATCCTTCGATGGAATCAGATTTGAATTTAGACTTTTCATCGAGTTTCTCAACAGAATCAGAATTAAAATTGAATATTTGTGCAAATAATCAATTTTCAGGAAAGACATAATTTTTTTTGTGTTGTAAAAAAGTCATTGGTATTACTTGGGAAAGCTGAAGAAAGTTTATTCTAATTTTATGTGGTAATTAGTAATTAATCAGAAATAGATAACAAATTATTTAGTGGTTACACTAATTTAACGCAAAATTTAAAATTTAAAACCCATCAAATCCATCACTGTATCTTTTTACTTTTAATTTTGACTTTACGTAAATATACAATGAAACATTTGAAACAATAATAATCAATTAAGTTCTAAGAAAGTTTTTTGACGAAATTTTAATTTCAATTTCCAGAAATAACTGGTGAAGATAAAAAAGGAAGTACAATGATCCCTCAGACTAACAATGCGACTAAAATTACCACACCTGAAACGACCACAACTGTTTATAATGTATTACTAGCAGCAGCAACAATAACAAGAACAAGAACAATAACAACAACTACTACTACTACTACTACTACTACTACTAGAACAACAACTACTAGTACCTCTATTACTACTATTGCAACTACAATACCAACAAATACTGCAAATGCTACAACCGTTGAAGGAAATGATTCTATTAATCCTGTTACCTATACTACACCAATTACTACTACAACTAATACTATTCTAATTAGGGATATTCATTTACCGAGTAGAACAATCTCACAATCATTTGAGAATGAAGCATTGTTATGGTGGGTTATTCTGCAAAAGATACTTGGAAGAGATGCGCCCATTTATCACAATATAGTTGAAACGGATAATAAGAATGAAACAACCATAAGTAATCCACAAATCCTTATCAATGATGTTGATAATGAAAGTAAACTACGTTTCTTGGAAGAGATACTGCGTGAATTACGAGAAAATCCCAATAAATATAAAGTATCTTTGGAACGTACTGACGATCGACAGAGTTGGATGGTTATCCATATTGGGAATTGTCATAAGTGTGAAAATTTGCAAGAAACGATATTTACGGATATTCCGGGAATGCCACATCAGTTTCCAAGAAAACGTGATTCACCGGACGAATTAAAAACAAATTATCATGTACTTCGCATAAGATTGCCCTATGGACTTCTAAATAATGGTACATTAAGTGGAAGAGAAATTCAACAAAAAGAAGCAAATATAGGTCTAGATAATACTTCCAGTATCAATATGCATATGCAACAACTGAATAATCATAAGGAGAAATTGACTTTTGAAAAGCTTCCGGAAAAATACATTGATGAACAGCATGGTTATCTGTATAGAGTTAAAATTCATGGTATTAATCGGGAGTTACCATTTATCAGTAACATTACTACCGATCATGAAATGCGACAAAAGGAAATTGAAAGTGACAAGATAGGAGCAACCAAGAATAGGGTTGACAATAATACCAGAGGTAAGTATTACAATTATCCCATTAATCAGAAAGATTTCTTCTTATCCATTTTGATTCATGTCTTTTTTCACTAGTAAATGATACTGTAAAGTGATTTTTTATCTTAGTGGAAATTTAACTAAAATTTACAACAGTATTTAGAATAAGCGATCATAAGCGAGTTCAATGGCAGTTAAGTTTGTTAAAAATCATTTATTTTAGGGGAAACTCGATCTGCCATTAATTCGTACTGTTTTGGCATAATTAATCGTCAGCTGTTATACAATGCTTCGTATAAGACACTTTATGATGTATCATTGGAACGATGCAGGTATTTTGCTAAAATTTTCAATGCATTTAATAAAATATTTTATAATAATGATATTGTCATTATCAATAATGATAACGACAATCTTTGCAACAATGATGTCATCAAATAATAATGATAGTTACCATCATCCAACAATAATAATAATTAAATTATAATGAAGGAGTTGCAAATTTTTGATTGATTTCTTTTTACAGTAATGGAAATAATGTTTACAAAAAATACTTTTATCTATTGCATAATGATAACAATAATGAAATAAAAGGAATTAAATAGTTCGTTCCTCGAATTTCTTTTTTATATTATACTGGATAAAACGGAAAAAAAGACATTAAAATTGATAGTTTTCAATAAGTCACCGTCATACTATCGCTAATTGAATTGAATCATCGTCATCTTACGATAGATAGTCGTTACTTCACATAGACATTAGGTGTTATCGATATCCTAGAGTAGATTAGCGTTATCCTCTTACAATCAATGTTTAGATTAGATCAACATCATCATACATTAGACATTTGATCATCGTTGTCTTCGACAATGTCACAAAAAAGATTGACTTCCGTGGTCGAATTTTTGTTTTCTTTTTCTATAGATTCTATTACTCTTTCTATTGTTGATTTTTTTAGAGGGAAAAAAGTGAATTGTCAGTCTTTCCTGGAAATATTTTCCTATAATTAAACTTGTTTATTGTAGATGTGCTTGTGCCAATACATGGGATAGTGATAATGATAAGGATTGCATGATAAAGTGTAAAAGTTTCCAATATAGTAATGTTACACGGAAATGTTTGCTGAACGAAGAAGATCATAATGGAAATTTTGATTTGGTATATAGTTGGGATACTGATTATTTTTATAGAATATGTACCGGTGAAGGTTTGTTTTCACAACTTAAATTGTTATCTGCAGCAATAATTAAAATTCACACTGGTTTCAAATGTCATTAATGGCTACAATATTTTGGAATTATTTTTACGTACACGTCAAAATATCCGTAATAGAAAAACGATCAGCTGATAATTGCGCATTTACGATAAATAGTAAGAAATGTTCCACACATAACGCCAAGTGTATCTTTGACATGAATATATATGTAGTAATATCTTCAAGAAAATTCCACGTAGAGCATTAAATTTTTTCCAAAAGTTTTCTAGAATTTTGGTTCTTATTTTATCAATGATGCTATTCCAGATATTACCAAAGATTCAGCCCGTAACTGTCCAACGCGGAGGAAGGCAAAACTTGAACAATCTGAATCAGAAGGGACAAATGCAAGTGAAGTTACGATGATAAGCAAAGCTGAAGAGAATAAAACAATCCATTCAACCAAAAAGCGGTCAACAGTCGGTCATCAATCGACGTTTTCCTCATCAACCTTCCACACACAATCTGTCTATTGGTGGAAAAATAGTGGGAAAGAAGAAGTAAGGAACAAAGGAATCATTGAAGAAGTGATATTATCGCCTGATTTGTGGAGTAAAATATTGAAGAAGAAGAAAAGTGCTACGGAAAACTTAAGAAATTTGGTATCTGAAATACTGAAGAACCAATCGGAAGAAATGAGTGTTGGAAAGAAAGGAAACGATTATAAGGTTGAAATTCGACGCACTACTACTACCACACTACGTGGTAACCGAGGAATACGATCCACGAGGGATGCGGATCTGGAAACAATCGAGAAACCATTTGCTTTAACAACAGTTTCTGCGGATTATACAGAAACGAAAATGATTAAGCAATCTTCATTGCTTAATGAAGAAGTTGCTAAGTCATCAATAAAAAAACCTGGAGTGGAAGTAGTGGAAACGACTGAACACGTAGAAATTAGAACGGAGAACGATAACGAACAGAAATTCAGCAAATCAGTTGGTGGATTGAATTCGAACATCACGAAGTTAACGACCAGTATGATCGACCAAAGAACAATAGCAGACAGTGATTTTGGTGGATTTTCAGAAAAAAAAAAATGAAAATTTCTCTTTCTATATTTGTTAAAGCGTATGTTTTTTGAGTGAGTGCAAGAGATATGAATCATCCTCGGGAAAATCTCGTATCGAGATATATGCCATAGCAGCTAAACTTTTTCTGTTCCATACAATAATCCGTTTGCTATTCAACTCACTTTTTGATAGGCAATCAATCAATAATGATAATTAATAGCAGGAATTTAATGGGAAAATTAATTTCAGTTAAAATATTTGTCTTCCTTGTTATCAAAAATGATGAATTTGTTTAGAAGTTGACGAAGACAAAAGATTCGATGGTACTTCTGATGATTACAATATGAATTACAATTTAAATGAAAATGATATCACAACAGTAGCATCTGGAGTAGTGGAACAACGTAACGGAATGACCACCAGTAATAAATCTGAAATTTCTGAAGCAAATTTCGACAAAGTTGTTGATTATTCTGGTAGCAGCAAGCTATGACTTCCACTTCATTTATCGGATTCCACTCAATTTATTTTTCTTTCTTTTTTTTTTTTTGCGAGACAGAGGGAAGAGGAAAAGGAAGAAACCTTAAAACTTGCTAAAATGAGATAAGATAGTAATTTTCTAAAAAGTATGCATATATCCAATATAAATTTGACGTTTCAGATGTCAGTAAAACTGAACAAAATTTGACGTCAAAAACGCTGGGCGGCTGCTTTGAAGTATGTTTTGTGGTTCATTTCAAAATTTTCAAATAATTTTTTTGCTTTCTTCACTAATTTAGCAAACGATAATAGTTTTATTTTGACAAGTGAAATTTATAACTTTATTTCTCTAAACATGATAGCCGAGAAGTTCTAAGTTGAATCAATTTCATGCGATCCGAAATATAAGATACAATATACAGTACATAATACTTTTTTTTGACTTTTCTCTCCAACTTATCTCTTCCGTATTTCCTATTCGATTAAAACTAAATGAAGTATGAATTAGCATTCTAATTTCACAACTTAATCAGTTGATTGATACTTCTTAGAGTTAAGTCGGAATATCAGACATCCATATAACAACATAACGTATGTATATGTCGTCAATTGGAAGAAGGTATAGCCTACTAGATTTCAAGTGACACTTTAATAGAAAAACTGCCAGCTAGCTTACCCGATGTGTGTTTTTTAGTATCTTCAGACTCTTGAATCACTTTAAAGGTTATCGATGGATTTATATTGAAAGGTACAGCTGGTGGACTTAAACAAGACGTAACATTGGAGGAATGTCAATGTTATTGTGCTAATAGCAGGTCGCTTTAAAAATAATTACTTACCTGTATATTAAGTTGTAATATGTGAGAAATGTGTTTGATTGTTTAATAATCAATGAAATTTTTTTAAACCACTTTTGTTCCTTGCATAATTTTTGTAACTTTATTTTATTATTTCATTTCGTAATAAAATAACTTATTCATAATTTTATTTCATGGTTAATTCTATAGCTTCCTGTTAATAATTTAACTTTATTTTATAATCAACTTAATCATTCAATAGAAGTATTTACTATTAGGAAGCGATAGCTCGGATTAAACTATGAAGCACTTTTCCCGTATTATTATTATTATTATTTATTATTATTATTATTATTATTATTATCATTATTATTATTATTATTATTATTA